GCCTCCCGGGTTCAGGTGATTCTTGTGCCTCAGCCTTCGAAGTGACTGGGACTATAGGCACGTGCCACCACACCAAGCTAATTTTTTGTTTTTTAGTAGAGATGGGATTTCACCATGTTAGCCAGGCTGGTCTCGAACTCCCGACCTCAGGTGATCCGCCCGCCTCAGCCTCCCCAGCTGCTGGGATTACAGGCATGAGCCACCATGCCCAGCAAATAGTAACTTTTAAAAGACAGTATAATTATATCTATAATCATAATGTGTTAGTTCAGAAACACATGAATATATGTTAAAGATTTTAATTAATCAATGAAGAAACCAGTAAGATGTTATAGTCAGTTCAGAGGAGAATTCAAAGTACTACACATACAGGCAGATAAGAAATGCCAAAATGAATTACAGACAGAAATGAAATGGTCCAGTAACCAACTGCACCCCTCCAGGCACAAGTCATTTGCATTTCTATGGGTACAAGTCATTTTGCATTACTATCAGTTTTCTACAATTTACAGGGCTGTAAAATAGCTCAGACAGTGAAAGCAGGGTTTACCTTAATTAATGGGTGCAGTAAGCCAGACATCCAGTGATCTTCCCCCCATTTCAAATCCTGTTGCATCCCATAAGTATGTACAATTATTATGTGTCAACTTTTTCTAAGAAAAGCTTTTCACAATCATTCTTGACATTTTTTATCAACTCACTTTCTTGATTCTTGTAAAATATTTTTGTTAGATTCAGTGAAGCAAGTAAGTTTTGCATTTAAAGATTGAACCAAACTGTGTTGTTTTTATCCCATTGTAAAGGCTTCTAATGTATATATTTGATAATTAAATTCTAGTTACTTTAAGCAAATTATCAGAATTTATTATAGTGATTCTTCAGAAAGAGTAATATTTTTATTCATGTATTATTGTCATAATAAATGAAATTTTTAAATTAAAGATAGGTGGTTAATTTTTTTTCAGTGATACATCAACATATAAATACCATTCTTCTCTGACTTATTCAGTGATCTGAATCAAATTGTTTTCAAGTGTTTACAGAGCTCATAATTTAGAGTTGTCTCTGACTGATTTTATTTCCTCCAGGTGCTGGATTAAACGATGGGCAGTGGCACTCTGTGTCCTTATCTGCTAAGTGGAGCCATATGAATGTGGTGGTGGACGATGACACCGCTGTTCAGCCTCTGGTGGCTGTGCTCATTGATTCAGGTGACACCTATTATTTTGGAGGTAAGAGAACGCAATTGAATGACAGTGGCAGTGGAACCACTTTTTATCTTTATTGCTTTGCATTTTGAGTTTCTAGTCAAATTTAAACCAAATTAATACTGAGAAATAATTTATCTCTAGCTATGAAATTAATACCTTTTGAGTTTGTAAAAAACAGGAAACATTTAATCAATTTTTCTTCCCAATACAAAAATAAGTATCTGCAGAAAGTTTACTTCCTGTTTAAATAACTTGATATTTTCATTTAACATTAAAAGAAAATATATTTGAGCTATACGTAGTAAATAAGTGGAAACTTTCAAATGTCAATATCATAATCATATCTCTACAACAGATAAATCCATTTATACTTCTAACAGTTAACTTGTAAAAACAAAACAAATCATGTTGTCTAAAGTCATTGCCTTACATAAAATATTAATTATATATTTAAGTCTATATCTAAATATATACTATTGAATCATTATTAGTACACAGCTCAGTTTATAGATAGATAGATGGATAAATATTTTTTACAAGGAAGAGTAATAGGAAATATACTGATTATGAAGTACTTTCAAAACATTGACAATAATAAATATTAATTAATAGGAGACAAGCATATTAAATGAATCCAGTATAATTGGTGTTACACCAGTACAAAGTACTGAATGTTTGCTTCCTCCCACCCAGATTCATATGTTGAAATCCTGACCCCCAAAGTCATGGTGTCAGGAGGCTTTGGAGGGTAATTAAGTCAGGAGGGTGGAGCCCTCATGAATGGAATTAGTGCCCTTATAAGAGAGGCCCAAGAGAACTCCCTTGCCTCTCCTGCCATGGGAAGTTATAAGGAGAAGACTGTGGTCTATGAAGCAGACACTGCATCTGCTTTGTCTCAAACTTAGACTTTCCAGCATCCAGAACTGACAGAAATAACTGTTTGTTGTGCAGGCCACTCTGTTCATAGGATTCTGTTAATAGCAGCCCAAACTGATTATGAGAACTCATAAGCTAAAAAAATGGAAACAAGTGGATCTTTTGATTGTAAAGGAAGTTTGGATTTTTTAAATTAAAAGAACCACTAGGAATAACAGCAAAACCCTGCTATGTATTCTAGAATGCTCCTGTGAGCCCAAAGATGAGGCTTATATATCCGGAAATCACAGTTAAGAGAAATAATCATGTGAGAAAACTTGTCACATGGGGGCATGGATGCCTGTACATTAAAGCATTCTGTTATCATCCCATATCACCACATATATGATAAGAAAACTTATTCTCAATAAGAACGTTTTCAGCTAGGTAAGAAATTCCATGCTGGACACATATAGAGAGCCACTTTGCATTGTACCTAAACACTGAGGTGTTACGGAGATAACTTAATTACTTGTAATTCTTACTGGAAAGGTAAATATATTCAACCTTTCTTAGTAATAAAAATTGTATGTAAACAGAAATATAGATCTAGTAATAGAAGACTTGCTATATACATACAGTCCTATACACTGCATTTTACCTCATCAGTATTTGTGGTGTTTCACAAAGAATATGTACTTTTCCAAATATACAGTCACAGACATTCAAAGACTTCACTGAGCTGCCCTCTGGCACACAGTGTGTATTTAAATTATTTAAGAAAATTAAAATGGCCTGAGGAATCTCTGAGCAGACAAAGCCTTGTAAGTGGTCTTAACTTTGCTTGATTTACCAATATAAGCAAAACTTTTAACTTGAGCTATTTCTTGTAAATGGCTTAAAAAAAAAGAAAGTCAAACTTAAGGCTAACCAATCAGAAGCCATCAATTAACTTATATAACTAGAGACTTTCCAGCAGGATCAACCAAGTAAGGCAATTGTATAACTACAACCAGTGAAAAATCTGCTCCTATATTACCTTACAGAAGCTGGCCCTTTTCGTTCTCTTGAAAGGGTCTCTGAACCAGTTCCCATTTGAAGCTGCTTCAGCAGTGATTGATGAATCACTGTTTTGTGCCTCCATTACCTTTTACTAATGGATACATTTATATCTCTAGTTGGATGCTTTTTCCTCTAAGCAGACACAAAGTAAACCTGAAGAGCTTAAGATTTTTATTTTTTTAATTTATTAATTTATTTTTTTGAGACAGAGTCTCGCTCTGTCACCCAGGCTGCAGTGCAGTGGCGCAATCTCGGCTCACTGCGAGCTCTGCCTCGTGGGTTCATGACATTCTCCTGCCTCAGCCTCCCGAGTAGCTGGGATTACAGGAGCCCACCACCACACCCGGCTAATTTTTTGTATTTTTAGTAGAGATGGGGTTTTCACCATGTTAGCCAGGATGGTCTCAATCCCCTGACTTTGTGATCTGCCCACGTCGGCCTCCCAAAGTTCTGGGATTACAGGCATAAGCCACCGCACCAGGTCAAGATTTTGAGAATTAGTTAATGCCTTGATTTATCTTGAGTGGATGATAACATAAGGAGTCCTCAGAAAAATGTAGCCATGCCTGCCAACCTTTTCAGAAGAGCGAAGTTAGCTTAAGGAATAATCACTGGTCCAAGGTCGTTAGTGATCTGAGAAATTTCACGTGCTGAGGATGATGCCAAATTCAGGGTTTCCAAGTATGAGTACCAAGATACCTCCTATACCTGCTCTCAGCCATATGTGGTATAGACAATCATCTCAACAAAATTTTTCCAAACCAAGTAGAGAAAAACAGTAA